GCCTGTAGCAAAGACATTAAAACAATCAAAAAGTAAGAACCTCCAAACAAACTTATGACAATGAAACAGAAAGGAAGGCAACCTGTAAATGAAACAAACCTTAACATCTCGGTGAATATGACCTTGTTTATGAAGGTAAACCAGAGCCTTAAGGGTTTCCTTAAGGATGGAACCGATCGCAGACTCCTCAAACCCATCCGGATATGCGATTTTCATGAGGTGCAAACAAGAACCCTCTGCCATGAATGGCATGATCACCCAAAGGTTTCGCTCGACAACAAATGAACAATACGCCTTTACAACATTTGGGTGATCTATCAAGCTCATTGTTTGCGCCTCCCTCCTTATATCCTCCTATGAAAGAATACAAACATAATATATCAAATAATGGGTTATGTATTTTCACCCAAAAAAATAATGGGTTATGAATCAGCTATAATACTAGAAACAGTAGAACATGGGTTTTCTTCAACAATATTCATTTCAAAGAGAGTACTTCAGCGATAATAGCATTTGCAAAAGTTGTGATTTGTGCTCATCAATACAGACCGTTGAGGATCTGAAGCATAAATTAAAACCAAATTAAACCCTACACCAATTAAAAAATGAAAGTCTACCGATTCCTAACTAATTCCGCATTCACAAATCAAGCATTCAAGTTCACAAATCGAAGTCCAATCTCAAACCCAAGCAAAGATCTTAAGCTCATATCAAATCTAGCTTCACTCAGTAAACAAACAACTAAAAAAGATCCCCCAAAGTTCGTTAACAACAATAAAATTGAGATTTTGAAACAAGCAGAGCAATAAGAAACTGACGAAATTGCTGCCGCAGCGATCGAGATCCAAACATTTTACAGCGACGACTTCATTGAAAGGGAGATAGATCGCTCTGTACACTGTAGCACTGGCGCCATAGCCAACCTCTTCCAGAAGCTTGTAGTCGCTGGGGTTCGCAGAGTGAGACCTGGAATTGCCTCCCATCCTCCCCATGCTCCTCCTCTTGGAGAAGAAGCGACTAGCGAGGACTTGCGCTTTGGCTATACGTTAAACAGAGTTGCGCGCCGTTTCGAGGCTATGGGCTCTGCGTTTCGATGATATTATATGAACTCGTTGACCGCCATGATAAGCGAAAAGGAAAAGGCGAGAGAGAGTGAAGAAAGAGAAGAGAACTCGGAGCAGAACTTGGCTTGTGAATTCACTGAAATGTGAGGTGCTGACGTGTCGGAGGCGGTAAAGGGTGATGGGGATGTTGACACGTGGATGGGTCATTATAAGGGACGGCTGGGACCCGCGCTGGGTGTCTTTGCACCTTTGGTGAATTTTTATTATTTTTGTAATTTTCTGAGGTGGCTGTGGATGAGCTGAGCTGTCAATAGTTTTGTTGCTAATTATTATTAATTTTCAGACAAACCCTATTTTTGGGAATTATGATTTTGAATTTCTTGGGCAGATTTCTTGTTTTGTCCGAAATGTATTATTATTTTATTTATCTTTTTTAACGAAAAATTACGGGAATGACATGCTGCCTTCCATTGATTAGAAGATTTAATTCGGTTGATTAAATGTCATTAGATCATCAAATTGGAGGAATTCTTTTCTTCTTCTTTTTTCCTTTCAAACACAATTTTCCAACAAAAAATACGTAGTTTATTTCATGCTAAAACTGTTGCATTTCAATGGGAAAAACTTCCCCAATTTAAAATATTCTTATGATTATTTACGTTTGTTTGCTTTAGTATCATTTTTTAGCTAAACGAATCATACACGCGGTATATGCGTAATGCAATAGCGGTTTCACGTTGGCCGTTGTTATCATTCTCTAGCTAGACAGGCATGATGATAAAACGACAGAGATAACCGAAATGGAGAATAACATGGAGTACTTGTATAGTAGTACTGTCTCGTAGGCTACGGAATTGTCAAGCTCCTCCAACTATTAAGCATGTTCATGTGTTGGTGGTTTGCTCACTTTCTCATTTTCCCTTTGGTCGACCAAGACCGGCATTTATTGGTCTTGTCAATTGTAAGGCTGGTGTCCCTCACCATCAGATAATGATACACAAAGGGTAGGCTGGTGTCAATGTTTGCCCATCCACTGTTTCATATGCACGAAAGAACATATCATCAACTTTAAATGATCTTTAATTGACATGTAATGATAAGGCGCTCATTAAATCTTGTATATGTACCAAATAAACATGTTAAATGAACTATGTTTTTCTTAATTTGATGTGTATTCATTACAATTAGTGAACATGATTAACGATATTGAGGGAAAGGGAATTCGAACACAGGACATTAGGTGCATGAATAACTGCTCTTAATCACTTAAGCCACAAGCTTCTTGTGTGGACGTAACCTAACTAGAGCGAATCATATTGTATAGCACTTTTACTCAACCTAAGGTACCTTGCATGTG